AAAGTGAAAATGGAAAGAAAAGAAGCCATTCGTACCTCGAAGCCTTTTTGCGGGATGAGGGAAGTAGAACATACCGTACTACTTATAGACGGGAAACGGGGTGTTCTTTTTAGATGGCAACGATATAATTAGAGTTTTAATCACTGAATTACTTAAATTGTTTATACAAATAGATGTTGTTCACTCTAAATATAAGAGTTTAATTTGAATATCAAAAAGACGATATTACCCTTATGATTACCCCTGCTAATTGCTACATTTGCATTTAGACAGGGTACCTTTCTGATGTTTAGAACTACAGTTATGTCTAAAACCAAAGGACAGGGTTGGGATTCTGTCTGCTGATTAGTATAATTATCTCGGAGTAGTTAGAAAATGATAATCATGGTTTTATTTTTCAAAAAAGGAATTAAATTTCAGGATAAAATGAAGACATTCTTAATAATTTTTTGGGTATATTAATTCATTAAAACTATTTAAGTCTTTTTATTATTATTCTTGTATCTGATTTTTTAGAATCTCAAATCTCATATTGGCAATTTATTAATTAAGATTTCATTTAATATTGATGTAATTTTTTGTCTTTTGTTTTAAATTTTATAATTACAAACCAAAAAACTTATTTACTTTTTTAAGTGTTTTTGTAATATATTATTGTAATTATTAAAGAATAAAAATAAAATAATTTTAATACCAAAAAAGTGAATACTAGTTTATATTACAAAAAATTAGATAAAAATATTGCAAAATTATATCATTTTAATAAAGTATTTTGAGAAAAAATTAAAATAATCTCATTCATTTTTTAAAAATTAGGTCTTAATATTTTCTAGTGATACTTTATTAAAATGAGTACTTTTTAAGTATTTTTTCATTTAATTTTTTATAATACAAATTGATACACATTCTGTTTTTTTTTTAACTATTAAATATGTTTATATTTTTTGTTATCAGTGTTGAAATTCATTTTAGATAAATTATTAATTTTTGACTTTTAGTTTTAATTTTTAGTAGTTATAAATTTTATAAAAATTAAAATTAAAAATTAAAAACCATAATCATACTAAATAAAGCTTAAATAAGTAAACTTGCATTAATCAGCATTCATGTGTTGTCGGGTAAGAAAATATAAATATTTATTATACTTGTTAACACCAAAAAATGGCTGACAGTATTCTGGTGCTGGAATGAATGGGCGGCGGATACGATTTCAACATACGCATGTGGACAACTATAGGGTTTCTGGTGAGGAAGTTGCAAAATAAGGCATTAAAGCTTAGCTAGAAACTGAAATTGATCTCCCGCTTGGCACTTTGATGCTCAGTGTAAACTGCTTGTGTGTGTAACATGTAAGTGGAGAGCTAGAGGAAGAAGTTGAATATGAGAGAGGAGAGGTAAGTGTGGTGTGAATAAATGAGAAAGAATGAGTAGATGAGACATCCAATAACTACCTTCACGTGGTCTCATTAGGTTATTTACAAGTTTTCGCTTCTCTAATAAGAACATGTCACCTGTTTATTTTGAAGTATTCTCTGAATAAGGTAATTACTCGAAAAATAAATAAAATTCTTGAATTAAGTCAAATCTCCTTAACCTTAACGTAAATAGTGATTTAAGTCACATGCTAGGTATAAAAATACTATTATTTTTAAGATTGTGCTCAAGAGATAAATGTGTGGATTTATTTTTCTTCCCAATAATAAATTTTTTTGATAGATTCTTTCTAGTAATAATTACTACTAAAGACATTAAAAAAAATTTAAAGGGCGAACTGAAAAAAACAAAAAAAAAAAACAAAAATGCACAAGCTTTACCATGTAAAAAACCAAAAAAATGAAGATGGCTTTTTCCAGGAGATGAATTAACAGCGAGAAGAGGATGCATTCTCTTCGAGAAAGGGCGGTCACGACAAACATGTTGGCGGAAGAGCAATGTGCGAGGAGCAACATCAGGCCCGAGGAATTTGTCGAGTTGTATGCTGTAGATCGATGTCCAAATTTTGAATTTGATTTTGTTTTGTACAATTTCAAAGTTAATAAGTTAATTTTAACTTTTTCCCATGTAATTCACGACTGAATGGATAAATTTAAGCAAACGCTTCAAGTTAGTACTTAATAATGTAATATGGAATTCGAAAGCGTTGGCAAATTAAAATGCGCAGTTTGAAACAAAACGTTCAATTTTTTTGTCTAAAGGAGCACCGTATCGTTTGGCTGTGTCCTATCAAGAAAGTTTCAGTATAATACATATCATCTTTCAATAAAGACATCGCCGATTGTTTTCAAAAAATTCCAGACGTGCCAATTTAAATATTTTATTATAATAAGTTTGCTGCTTTTGGCAAATTTTAATTGCATGGCAATGTGAAATCCTATGATAAAAGAAAATCGGTTTGTATCCTGCCTGGCTGAATTAAATCATCCTATGTTTACAAGCAAACAAAGAGAGAGAGAGAGAGAGGGAAAACGTAGACTGTAGAGGCCCATTCCATCACCAGAGACCTGAGGCCTAGGCTTAAAGATCTCCTGACCCAATTGCTGAATGAAAAATTGAAAATCACAATCACATATGATTCTGCAGTTGCGGTTTATCTTGGGCTTGACTTATACAACGAAAATTGGACAATTGGGTAGAGGCCGAAGCCCAACCGCTCAAGTTCCAGTGAACTTGAATTTCTCTTTCTTTTAGGCCTAGAAATGAACTTTACTTTTTGGTTGGTGAATGCCTTTTTTCTTCTCTTTTTTTTTTTTCTTTTTTAAACAGTTTATAATTTTTGAGGAAAAAAGGATGAAGATTTTCAAGACTTCGGTGAGACTCAAAATCTCAACCAACTAAATCCAAAATCCAAGCACTTAAAGGCTTGGGGGCATTTGAGCCCGAAGGCCTGATTCAATGGGTGAATGCATTTTTGATATCTAGTTAAATTAAACAAATAAATAACTTGTGCAAACTTACACTACGCTGTTAATGGTGTGTGTGCCTTTTTTATTCTTTTATTTTTATTTTTTATTCATTTGGAATCTACCAAAGATTGTGCAAATGGGAGAAATTACCTCCTTTTTCTGACCGTGACTTCGTACTTTCGAAGCCGTAAGGATTTTCATTGGACTCTTGTAATTTATTTAAGCTTTAATTTTAATCCCCCCCGAAAGAAATCCTTAAAAATCCATAAAAATGATTATTTTTAATACATAGAGACTAAAGATTAAACCTAAAATATATAATTAAAAATACATGTAACTTTATTATCAAATCATATAATTAATAATAAAAAGCAGTTTAATGATGTATAAGATATTTAGGATACATTCAAATTCAAGCGAACCCCGCCATTACTTATAAGGGCACTAGTGAATCTTTTACTCGTCCAACCCAATGATTTAACATACAAGATCTTAATTATGTAACTCTGGGGTCCACAAACACTTTGACTATAAATAATAAAAGAAATCATGATATTCTAGGACTTTTCAACAAAGATGATTATTTAGTAGTTTGTTTTTCATAATCATTTTGTACATTAAATAATTAAGTTTACATTATAAAAATCGATGCATATGCAGCCAAACGAAGTAACAATCATACATGGTTTTGACTTTTTAATGATATGAATAATAGCCCGTTCGGGTCAGAATGTTAATCATTTAGCTTCCTATATAACCGTAGCTTTAATAAATTTTAAATCTATTAAATTTTCATTTCTGTAACCCTTCTAGACAAGAGTTGCTTTGCTTCTCTGACTCCTCATGACGGAATGGATGCGTCAGAATATGTATAAATGAACCTACTTGATGCAAAAGAGCAACTATAGAACAGTTGAAGCATGTAATGATCAATGAACAAGCATCTGCAGGTACTGCCAATGAACTTGCAGCAAGATTAAGCAGTAAAGTTAGATATTACCTCTGGTTACATGATGATTTATTGTGAATGTCCTGTATGTAAAAGAAAGACAATAGTAAACTTCTATTTAACAAAAAGAATTCAAAGAAAATAACTTGTTAACAGATGATGAATTCAGGAAGTCGAGATGCCTAGTTTCCACTAAATTTCAGAAATGAAGAACAATTTTTCATATATATAAGCAACTCAGGGCACAATATAGATTGGTGGGTCCCGAGAACCATGCTGACAGCAAGGCCTCAAGCAACAATATCATGTACTTATAAATTTTATCATGGATGCAATGATAACTGAGTAATGATGACACTCAAGAAGTCAATCCACAATGAGAAGAAACCTACATTCCTGACCTTATTAACCAGTCTGCGATGGCATAGGATTCTCAAGCAACTTTAGCAAACATTCCCACATTTTTTTCAAGTTTGGCTATGATTAGAGGATATTTACCTGATAAAAATGCTTCTCCATGCATGTAAAAGCACTCCTGCACAACAAAGCACGCAGAATGCACATTCTCCTGCCTAAGATGAAAGGCCAAGTTCTACTCTTTCTTCTCCTAGCATGGCTCCTGCTAGCAGTTTCTCAACCTCAAGACTTCCAGAAAATCAATGTTCAGGCTACTGATTCAGGCAATCCTCTCTCTCTCTCTCTCTCTCTCTCTCACACACACACACATACACATGCACAAAAGACACAAGCTTACCTGCGTTCATATTACACACATATGCAGCCAACTAGTTTCAAACCCTTTTTAGCAATCACATACTTAGATTGAGAAAAAAAACTAGAAATTTTGGATAATCAGTAATAACAATATCATGAGAAACAAAGGAATAAAGAACAAAGACAACAAAGCATCCAAGACAAACAATGGGTGCATAACTAGGGTTGAAAATGGTATTTAACAAGCATGATATCATTAGGGGAGAGAAAGAAGACTTGACTTTTTATTGTGTTTTGAGAGTTCTGATGCCGTTTCCCATTTCCTGACAAACAGTTCATTCAAACCTAAGACCCAGAAGGCTAACATCAAGGGCAGAGAGCAGAAATGAGTTGCCTACTTGGGTAAGTACCAAACATAGTGTATTTATGGTTTAAACTGTATTTGCCATTCACTTAGCAAATTTGTATACTGTAACTAAACATAAGTTGTCTAACCATGACTCCTTGTGTCTTTGCAATGGTGGAAGAACAGGCTGCAATGAAGAGGAACCGTAAAAGTGCATCTGGACCCAACCCAGTTGGGAATCAACACCCACCTTCTAGGCAATGACGCAAGGAATACAACTGCTTTGTATACTAGCTAGGTAGAGTGTGGTAACAACAATGATTTGGGGTTGAAGGTCAGAAGTGTTCTTGTAGGTTATTATGTAATTCTAATTATTTGGGGTTATTTTTCAGTTTTAATGTAATTGTAGGGTTTAGGATTAATTTTATGTTTTTAGTTAATTCTGTTTTTTGTTGGCCATCAGTTAATTCTGTTTACTATTACTTTCCTACTCATAGAATTTAATTAGGGGTACTTAAGTCTTGTTAAGAATAATTTAACATCTAGGATTAAGGGTTTTGGGCCATGTAGACATATGATTAATTAGGTTTATGGTCTATGAGATGTTATGATTTTAGAGTTAATGAGTATTTAAACTTCCGCCTTATGGTCTTATGTTTTCTTCTGGCCAAAAAAAAAAAAAGGCCAACAGGTCTTATGTTTTCTCTTACAAATTCCTCTACTTCTCCCTTTTTCTTTTTCAAATTGTTGCCCCCTGTCATAGATTCATGTGTCAAAAAGAACTGTATGGGCTATTACTTCTAATTTCTACTGAATTTTTTCACAAAGACGTTAAATCTCCCAAAGACCTCCAAAAAGGGGAAGGGAGGCAGAATGCTCATAATGGCTCTCAGTCTCAGGCCGTGGACAAAATTTAGGCTATTTTTACATTCTATGTTCGGGTAAACTGAGCACTTATATAATCTCTATTTGGAAAAAAGAAAAGAACTTGCAGAAACAATAATTCCTAAACCAAAGGCTCAAATGAGATGAGAAAAACCAACAGGCAAACTTTGAGAAGCCAAGAACACCTCTTGACAGATGAATGAGAACCTTCACGTGGAGAATAATTACAGTGTGCATAACTACAATGGATTTTTAAGGTAAATCATTCACTAGAATGATTAAGCAACAAAATTCATACAAACTGGACATAAAATTTTCCAGGATTGAGGCTTGGAAGGCAAACAACTAGTTTGTCATTCCATTAATAGACAGATATTTTGGTTTCAACTGGAATATAAAAAAATATGTGCTTCCTAGAGTGCGTGAAGTTTACAAGTTTCATATTGGATATTTGGCATGATTTTCACTAGATCATAAAATGAATTAGCCAACTTAAAAATTGCCATTATATTAACTAGAATACATTTTTTTTATATACGGAACTCACCGTAAACTACAAAACCTTCAGCATACTTTTACACAGCACGCTTCCGCTTTGATCTCTTGCTTCTTCTTGGCCGAGAAATGTTAGGCACCTGTTTGTTTACATTGGAAGCATATGCCTCTTCCAGAGCCTCCTCGCTCTGTTAGAAATTCTGTATTAGTAACCGTTTTAATGTTGTGCAACAAGGGAAAAGGGATATTTACATCAATCCAATCCAAAATCTACACTCTTTTGAGATCAACTTCCAACCATGTATCATGACTGAAATTGTCTATGCAACTCAAATATAAACGGAAAAGGAGCTAAAGCTCCCTGTTATTCATAACTATGCCAATGCCAAATTTACTTCTTCATTATATTGAAAATCCAAAATTCTTTTGCAAGTTCAGAATCAACTTAGAGTCTTAAACCATCTGCTACAAAATTTATAATTGATTATCCATATAAAAAAAATTTCTATTCATCCAGCTTATATCCCTTCACCTGCCAAGTTTCCTCTTTCTAACAGCATGCCCATTCACAAATAAATTTGCACATTCAAGAAAATGCTTGATTTTAACTCCATCAATGCCATATTCTGAGTGGTGGAACCCACTAGTGCTACCTCAACGTCTAGAAAACTGAAGGACATGATCATGCTGCCCAAAAGATGTAACAGTAGCCTGAATTTTGGCTCTGCCAAATATAACTATCTTCCGGTGTCTCATCATTAGCTCCTTTATTGTAGTTACTCATTCACAGTTCATTAGATGCATGCATGAAGATAGAAGAAGAGTACCAAGTTAACTTATTGCATGTACTATTCAATTTGCAAGAAAGATCAAATCTTCCAATCTATGGTCCCACAAGAACTCTCACTTACCACTGTCAACCAGCCCAAAGAGTCTAAACATGCAATGAATACCCTTTTGGCGACTTCAAGAAATTACAGTAACTACTATGCAATTGCAATGTGGCCCCCAACATATTCATCATCAGTCCTTTAGATATGCTAACACGTATGTAGTTACAAAAGTTTAAGTTACCTTGTCATTAGAATCTTCATCCAAGTCCTCATCAGAATCAGATGCAGAATTCAAGGCCTGAACTTCTTCTGTAGGCAGTGCCTTGCTCAATTTCTTCATCTTCTCTTCTTCTTTTAATTGTCTGAACCTGTTGGTTTCCATTTATTTTTCAGTAAGATTTTGAAGCAGAGATAACGTTATATACAACCTCAGAGAAGCAAAAATACTGACCTTTCAGCTGGCTGTGCTGGCTGAGCAGCTGATCGTTTTGCACGACCAGCAGTTATAATTCCACTTGCATTCTCATTAACAACAGGTTTTGCACCACCTAATTTGCGCAGCCATACTTGTTGCGCCGTACTAAGGATGTTGTTTGTGAACCTGAAAACCACAAGGCAAATCCATTATATGTAGCTTAAGAGGCAAAGCTATCACAATCCAGATTCACATGACAATCCAGTATATTACAAAATAAAGCAAATACTACAAATGATTAAATGCAAGCTAGTAAGTTTTTTTTTTTTTTTGGATTGGCATGCAAGCTAGTAAGCATGTTACTTCTAACTAATCCCAGAGGGAACCAAGTGTAATGACATTGAGAAAATTATTCTTTTAAACAAAAATTTTATAACAATAATATGACCATAGTTGATATGATAATATGTGCAGCCCATTTCCCAACTTCATTTATTTGAGTGAAACTGAAGAGGGAAAACCAACCAGTAAATTGATAACCCGGATGGGACAGACAAGGAAAAGTAACCAATCATGAGGGGAAGGAACTTGAAAACAAGCAGCGTATTCTTTTGGGCGGGATCATCTGTCTGTCAAAATAAATAAAAAAAGAAAAAAAAAAGGGGGTTTAAACTTTAAAAACAACTTCACAAATAGGTTGGCCAATAAAAAAAATAAAAAAAAAAATTTAAAAAGAAAAAGAAAAGAAACAGCTTCACAAGTAATGAACAAAACAGGAATCTACTCAAAGGACTAATTCTTCTCACCTGGGGAGGCTTCATGAGCTCCATTGATACATATTGAGAAACAACAAGAAGCACAGGCAAAACAAGGTATGCAGCAGTATCATTCCAACCTAATGGTGGATGACCATCCTGCAAGAGGATCATATGTTAGATTATCCCTATGAATCTATTAACCTGTGAAAGATAAAAAATCAATCTCAATCTAATCACGGCCAAAAGAGAAATCCAACTCTAATCAACAACACAAACTAAAATTCAAGTCTAATTAGCATTTGCCATCATAAGTATTATCTCTACTGGTTAATTGTAGCAAGTCATATTCTTGCAGATACTCACAACCTTGATATGCATTTAGCCATCCATGATTGAGGAAAAGCATTGAAGGACAATAGAAGATGAACCAGCACATTATCTATAGAGGTAAATTGAAATTTTCAATCTTCAAAAATGACTAATCTAAAGTCTTAAGAGTTTCAAGGGAACAAATCTTTTTCAAAAGTGAGAAGAATAGAAGCATGTGAGTGATATCTGTCTTTTCAGTGTACATCCAAAGAGAAAATTTGCATAAAATTTGAAATCTACAGTCTAGACATCCACCAACTGCAAGGCTACATGTTTAATGAATACCAGATTTGCTTGTTTCTCTGCTAAAACTGTGCTTCAAGAAGGTAACTTCAAAGACAAATTGTAAAGAACATAATGATTAGATTGCAAAATTTTTAGCATATTCTCACTGGTCTGCGCGTTATATGAATTACATTAGTATAATCAACTTAAAAGGTTTGCTATCTGTTGGAGCAGCAAATCAATTATTCTGCTTCAAAAGCCTTGGGAAGTAAGTTTATTACCACGAATGGAATAAGCCAAGAAATGCCTGATCCACTTTGTCGAGCAGCAATAGTAGTTGGCCCACCCAAAGAAGGGATCCAAAAGAATCCTTCTGTCAAGAGTCCCTTCAGGTAAAAATTTCACAAGATCAGCCAGCAACTTCACTCTCAAGGGTTATGTTATGTCAACCTTACTTACTTCATTTGCCACGTTTGAAAGAGCTTGATATAGACCTATCCAGACTGGTATTGTAACCAAAGTAGGTAAGCAGCCTACAGATCAAACATGATAGTTGATATGAGAAATTTTTTGCTTTTTTTTTTTTGAGAAACAAGCCTTTACATTTGAAGCTAAATATATAACAAAAAATGTGTGAATATGAAACATAAACACAGTCTCAAATCAAGTAATCAGTTGAAAAGATACCAGCCAAAGGATTAATTCCAGCCTGCCTGTATAAACGGGATGTCTCAAGTTGTATTCTCTCCTGAAAAAGGAAAAAATCGACATAGGAAATCAGCAAAAACCAAATTTCTTGTTTAATAACTAAGACACTGCCTCAAACCTCAGGACAAAGCAAATACCCCACCTGATTCCCTGCATATCTTTGTTGAATAGCTTTTATCTTTGGTTGAAGATTTTGCATAGCCAACGTTGATTCAACCTATAAATTAATAGCTGTCTGTTAGCTAAATAGTGAGCAAAATACTCGAATTTTGCTTTCTACACCTAAATAGAAGAAAATAATTACCTGTTGTTTTGTCAATGGCAATGTGGCGATCTTAACAATAACTGTAAGGAGTATAATCGCAAAACCATATGCATAAGGAACGTGCAGAGCCGCAAACCCATCTTTCAGCACCTGATGCCAGAAATGCACACTTCAAGCTACATATCACAGACATATGTGTTGATGTTAATATTATTAAATAAAATCTTACCTTAAGAACGAATTCCATTGAATCTGAGATAAAACCGAACCAACCGCCGCTCTTCTGAGGGGCAGCATCCGTTGCAGCGGAATCAACAGCAACGGCGGCGTCAGCAAGCGTGTATAGGAGGCTCTCGGCTTTGCTAACCATCGCTTGGAAGTCAACAGAGGAGTCAAAAGAGTGAATCGGAGGGATTTCGTTCAAGCTGACCCTGACTCTCGTAGCAGCAGCGAGCCTACGGGGAAAAATAGTCTTGCGGCCATGGCGAGAGATTAACGACGGGAGTCCAGAGTCGATGAACGGAGACGATGAAATCAGAGTTCTCGCCATGGACTTCTGAGATTTCTGAGAAAGAGAGGGAGAGGGAGAGAGAGGGAGAGTTCAGAGAGTCATGTGATTTAAGTGATGAGGTTCGGCAGAAGAGGAGAAATGGTAGAAATTATTTTTGAATTATCTTATTTTTATGGTTTGTCCAAACGGTAACGGATGAATCACTAAAAGATCCTCTGCGCGCCCTTTCCTTCGGTGGCTGATTCTAGCCAATGCTGTGGTTCCACGTCACACAACATCTATAAAAATGATTAGAGATAAGCTGCGGACTGGTGGATACTTTGGGCCTGAAGTTGGGCCGTTCATTATCAACCAGAGGACAGCACTAGGGCCCAGTTATTTCACCCATTGGATGACTTGGGTAAGCATCGTCACTGCGTCAGCCCATGATTTGCCCTCCCGCATTTGATTTGGGGGTATTTTTGATCCTACAATGTTCCATTTCCCCTGTTATTTTCGGTCAAAATTTATGGGGGTGGGCAAAGTTTAGTTAACTGATTGAGAACCGAGAAATCAACAGAAGGAAAAACATTTCCTCTGTTATTTTCACCTTCCTTTCTTCCCCTCCTCGTTCTCTTTCCCCTTTCTGTCCCTTTGTTTCTCCTCTTATAGTCTTATTCCTTCCACCATTTTAATATAGTCTTGATTTTCAATACCAGAATTGGATGATGTCTAAGAAGAAAAATAAGAAGGAATTGTGCATTCGATGCTAATTATTTAATGTGCAAGCCACAACATTGAATAGATGATACTAATTTAGTATTAATGGTATACTGAAAGGTGTCCCATACTAAATTGGAACATTTGATCAAGGAAACATGTACATAGTAGTAATAGTTCTCTCAGAAAACTGTCAACAAGTTAAAAATTTTAGTAGTAATTTTTTCAATAAAAATAAAAAAATTTAAATTTAAATAGCATGTAACAATAGAATAAATTAAAAAATAAGTGATAATTGTTTACTATGCAACCCCAGTGAAAAAGGGTTTCTAAAAGGATGTTGTGTGATATGTTCATTGTCCCTTATTAATATTAAAATGATGTTAAAAATAACTACCCTTATTTCTTTTATTAACATATAGTTATCCTTTTCCATGTGATAAGGATTTTGAGGGTATTTTGCTTCTTTTACAAATTTAAAATTTTGTTTGAAAAAAAAATTAAAAATTAAAATTTAATGTGTTTTTTAAAGGGTAGTGATATCAGGTGAATCTTTTTATATCATATTTATATATAACTTCTATATGTCATTAAATAAATAAATATATTTAATATTATAGGTCTTAAATAAATAAAAATAATCAATTATTTAAATGACACATAACATTTTACAAAAAATTAATAAAAAAATTGTCTTTAAATTATTTTCCTTTTTAAAACAAATTTTAAGAAAGTTACACATTTAAATTTTTATAAAACTTGTTTAAAAGTTAAAAGTTACTTCAAAAATCATTTTTTAAATTTATCTCTAATAAAAATTTAAATTTATAAAAAAAAATTTTATTTTCAAAGTAAATATCTTTTAAGTTTTGCTAAATATTCTATTACTGTATATGTCATATGGCTAGT